GCAGAAGGAACATCAGCCAAAAGCATGCATGTTTTAGCGATAATTTCCAGTAATTTCCGCGCTGTCCTGTCAAAGTTAGATGAGCTCAATGTGCTTCTGCAAAACTTTCACTGTTCTCTTACGAAAACATGGCTACATCACGCCGAGGATGAGAACATCCTCAGTTTGTAAAACTTCCTCTGACACTGCCTTGATTGTCTCAGAAACTATTCAGCGAAGTTCTACGAAGACAATTTACAGTGTCTCATCGTGAAATGGAAGCGATATACCTACCGGCGTATTCCACTGTTCTCAGTGGTAACCTGTATATAAGTCCTGACTGCAGACGCCCAGTTATTGATTCCTTTGCGGAGAAACTTAGCGAAAACGTTGGCCTCGGTTTGAACACAACTCTTGTTTTCATGGGCGACGTTAACACGACTTGACGCTGTTATCGAATCTTCGTCTACCTTACCCCGTTTGGTTTCCAGCAAGTCTTGACGCTTGACTGAATAGCAAAATGGTAAATAATTTTGCTTTTCGACATTACTTGTTTCGTACCTCGGAGCACTTCTTATCATTATATCCGTCGTCTCACCGCGTATATGGAGCAAACATGGGCAGTGTATGGGCACCTTTATTCAGTACAATCGACGTATTGTTAGTCAGAGGTGAGTAGATGCCGAGAAAATTAGACAGTTCCAGTCTGTAATTGAAACAACAGATGGGATATTTTCCACGACGATGTTGCAAGCATATAAATGGAAGCCGTAACGGCGTATACCAGTTTTGCCTTCACTACCTGTTGCCCCGTCAGAAAATTTAGACTATGAACAAAGGGTGCAGGGCCGGAAACAAAGTACTCGACTGAACCACAAGCACTCCGCGGCCATCTTGGTCTATGCCCATAGGAAGGATGAATGGGTCGCAACTGATCGACTGCACAATAGCAAATCAACATAGGAGCCCTGGTTGTAGATCCAGAGTGTATTTTCTGCGATTCGAAAATCAGAAGGCAGCCATTGATCTGCTTAGCAACTTGCCTGAAACAACCCTTGTGAACTGTTAATCGGCATACCGTAGTATACTGCTTCCGCTGATGTCGTGTTTCGGCAGCTCAAGAAAATCAAAGCTTCCACGACTACGGGACCAAACAACTTAGAGCCATGGCCTTGAAGCTTAGTGCCGACTTATTTTCTTAAGTC